CGGGGAACACCGAGCAAATTCGAGCAGTGAAGGTCGGTCTAGTAATGACGAAATTCTTTTGAAAACCGGGCTGGCCGTGGCCCGCCTCAAGGACAGCGTATGGCCTTCGGCTGCGCCGACTATAGACCGAGGTGATTCCTCTAGGCTCGGCACCCACCCAGTCCAACAGAGGGTCCTCTACGGAGTCGACCAAACTCACAGTCTCATCGGCACTTTGTTCCTCCCTTTCGGGGCGTCCTGAAGAGCACGGTTCGTCCGCCATGGTTACCTACAGAGCACGGGAAACCAGTCAATTGGGCACGAAACCACACGCTCGTCATAACGGACAAGATGAAGTGCGCGACAAACCACGTCGCTCCACGCGCGACCACAAAGTTGGTTTGAAACAAAATAGCAGTCGCCTCCCCGACTTCCAGATACCTCGACGGGTCCCTCTGCAAGCCGCCTAAATAAACCGACGACGCGGTCACTCGTGAATACGTCGACCCGGGGTATGAACATGGCGAGCAACATCATAAAGCCTAAAGTTAGAGCTATGAGTATACCGGGCACGATCACGAATTAGGCGCCCTGGATCATGAAGACCCCGGGCAGCACTACAGATTATAACCTAAACTATGTATCTGCCGGCCACGAACATGCGTTTGCCGACCTCATGCATGAATTTGTCGGGCTGAACATAAGGTTATCGGGCTAGTCCCACGCGCACAGCCTCTAAAAACGTCTAAAACGATGAAAATCATGCATCACAACAGAAAAACAGAGAAGACAAGTCACTTACTTGGAATCAAGGAGTAAATTTGGCGACGGAGGAAAGGAATCGGTGACGGAGATCGCGGCGATGCTATGAGAATCTGGGAAGAACAACAGCAGTAGAAATAGAGCGAAGAGGAGAAACGCGAAGAGTAGTAACACGTTCTGGGGCCTAAGGATCCTATTTATAGTGATGATGTGGAATACCAAACGTCACCTCGGGAAGCCACGGATTCCCCTCCTCGACGCGCAGCTCCCCTAGGCAATGATGACCCTATCCTCATAGGGTGGCGGCACAGTTCCCAAAAGATACCTCGCGTGCTCGACAGGCGCATGCTGTTGAGGAATCCCCGAGCATTCCTCGCGGGGGGACCTGTCCCCGAGCACGATACGGGGAAACCCTCGAGTACCCCCACGAGGAGCTGCGTCTCTTGCCCGGGCACGAGGCCCCGAAACGGAAGCAACCTAAGATCAAGCCATGGCTCCTAACCCAAGGAACCACGACTTGGGGGGCTCCTGTTCTGGACTGGGCCCGGCTGGCCCAATAGCAACGATAAAGGCCCAATCCAATCGGACTTGCTAGGAGTCACGCCGACCTATGGATCATATCTATGCCCGACACACGCCACTGGGCGACACCCCCGTCCTCGTATTGTCCAGCTCGACATCAGCTCGAGCGCTCCATCGACAGTGGACACGACCCACTGCATCCTCAACGGGACTCCAAAAAGACCGCGTCTCTGTCCGCCCGCACTTCACGCAGAACATCCAGGGAGGGGACCACGTGCAGGTCCCCACTACGCACGTAGAACCTGGCAGTTCCTCCATTGGGCCAAACCTGCCCGGCCCAATGAAGGAACCTTGGCCCAGCGCTGGGGGCTATAAATATCCTTTGTTTCCAGAGGGTCAGATATTCATCATTCTACCCATACTCTTACTATTGCCTGCTCGTGCTCTTACTCACTTCAGCATCGGAGTGTCTTGCAAGTACCCCCCACCTCGTTCAAAACTTCAACTCGGAGCCAGCCGTGACGGTCCAAGTCTGATCAGGTCAGATCAGAAGGGATACTCCTTCGATCTCATATTATAAATAAAAATTATTTTTTAATTCATTGAATATCTAATGTATTTGATTTATTAATGAATTTAAAAAATAACTTTTAATTATAATATAAAATAGAAGGAGTACACAACACCAATTAATGGTTGTCACCCTACCATAATATTTATTAATTATTATGTTTAATTCATATTCATTTTAATAGTTTTAGTGTTTTAACAAAAAAATCTTTTATTTCTCACTTTTTTTATCACAATCTTTTATTTCTCACTTCATCTATTAAATTTGAATACCTATTCACCTAGTTCCTCTCCATCTTTCCTCCAATCCCTTTCTCACTGACCGCCATTGTTATTTTCTTTGAGTCAACTACCTCACGGTCTCACCGACTTCAAACACAAACAATATCAATTTCTTTTTTGTAAAATAATAATAATAAGGTAAGAATAAGAAAAAGAGGGGAAAATACCTTAGTAAATTTTGAATTCTATTTTCCTTTTTATTTGAGAGAGATGAAACGGTATTGAAGATGAAAATATTTTTATTAAATTATTTTTATTTTGTTAAGTTTATTATTGATTGGACATATTATTTATACTGTTTGAACTTAGTTATATAAATACTAATAAAAAAATTTTGAGACTCTTGTATTTTGAAGGTTCTGGATAGTGGCCCAGTTTGCCATGTCTCAGAGTCGGGTCTGGATTAGACATTCATTCCTATTTCCTAAATCATCAATTAGAAGCTCTAAAAATCATGACCAGCTATTTTTTATTTCTCCCTCAAAAACAACAATAGTTATTGACATCATCTGATCATTAGGATCTCTATCAATTGTTACCAAAACCAGTCATCCACAAAAATCACTAAGAGGTCTAATAGAAAGGACAAGCATGGCACATTTTTAATAGATAATGGATGGAATTTGTTGTTTTAAAAAGAAAGGACAAGCATGGCACATTTTTAATAGATAATGGATGGAATTTGTTGTTTTAAAAGAAAAGAGGTCAGAGTGGACTAGAGGACTGAGTAAATTTTGAGTTCTATATTCCTTTCTATTTGAGAGAGATTTTGAGAGAGATGAAACGGTATTGAAGAAGATGAAAATATTTTTATTAGAATATTTTTATTTTGTTAGGTCTATTATTGATTGGATATATTATTTATATTGTTTGAACTTAGTTATATAAATAATAATAAATTTTTTTTGAGACTCTTGTATTTTGAAGGTCCTGAATAGTGCCAGTTTGCCATGCCTCAGAATCGGGTCTGGATTAGACATTCATTCCTATTTCCTAAATCATCAATTAGAAACTCCAAAAATCATTATCAGCTATCTTTTGTTTCTCCCTCCACAACAACAAAAGTAATTCATTAGGATCTCTATTCATTGTTACCAAAATCTGTCATCCACAAAAATCACTAAGAGGTCTAATAGAAAGGACAAGTATGACATATTTTTAATAGATAATGGATGAAATTTGTTGTTTTAAAAGAAAAGAGGCCAAAGTGGACTAGAGGAATAAGTAAGGGACTAAAAAACATATTAAGCAACAAAAAAAACTAAAATCTAAAGTCGAACTAAGTCAAACGAATGTTCACCACTCAAAGTTGAATAGATTTGAATGAGTAATCACGAGTTCAAAATTCTATTGGGTCTTCATGATTGATTGTCCGGAAACCGTGTTGCATGTGCTTCGTGATTGCAAGTTAATCAAGTCGTTATGGATTAGTAATGTACCATTTGATCGAAGACATAGCTTCTTTACCAAGAAACTTCATGAGTGGATATGCATGAATGTTAGCAGCAAGAAAGGCAAGCATGTGAATGAAGATTGGAGGAGCTTTTGGGCGATCGAGTGCCACTGTGTTTGGACTTGGAAGAATAAGGAGAAGTTTGAGGAAGGATTTGTTCGGCCAGAGAATCAATACTTAATTCTTGCAAAGGTTGATGCATTATGGGATGTGATAAGGGGCAACGTTGTGTTCAGATAGGTTGGTCCCCTCCAAATGGGGGATGGGTGTGTTTGAACACAGATGGTGCTTGCATGAAAGGAATAATAGGATGTGGTGGAGTTATTGGAGGGAGTGAGGGTGAATGGTTATCTGGTTTCTCTAAGGTGATTGAAAGAGGAGACGCATATTTGACGGAGTTATGGAAATTATTTGAAGGTCTTAAGTTGGTAAAACGTTTAAATTTTGATAAAGTTGAAGTGAAAGTGAATTCTGTGGAAGTGGTTGATGTTGTTAAGGATGGTAAATTAACTAATCATCGTGGTAGAACTCTTGTTTCTAGCATTTGTAGGTTGAAAAATCATTTAGCGGATACCTTCGATGAAGGATTCGCGGCGTTGTTTATGAAGTAAATAACATTGTTGATGCCCTTATTATTATGAAATCTAGAAGTATTAAGTGACTAACATTGTTGATGACCTTGATAATATAAAATCTAATAAATACTTAATATTAATTAATTAATTTTTGTTTGCACGAGACACTAGTTTGGTCGATATCTACCGTATTGTCGTGTTTTCATGTTTAAATTATTTATGGCTGTTAGATTAATGTTGTCAAAACATCATTTGTGACTCAAATATACCAACCGTTTTACCTTGTTGGTCACGTTATTCGGAGATTTCTTTGCAACTTCCCCAAACTTTTGACTTCAACAACTCCCCAAATTTTTGGTCAAGCTTATTTTCTCCACTTCTTTTTCTCCAAATAAAACATAATAAAGACCAGCTTAAACGGAGTATCTTATGTTATACTCAAAATTAAATTAAATAATTATAATTCAAGCAGCACAATGAAAAGTTGCCAATTGAACTTAATGGATGGACATCAAACTAAACCTTGAAAAAAGCACAAAAATATTAAGTTCTTAACCATAATTGATTTTTGCAAAAGTGAAAGATGATTTCAAGGGTTAAAGTCTCCATTCAATCTAAATAATATATATATTGAATATATAATGACATGATGATTCTATAAGGTAGTATATCTTATCTTTACAAGATGAAAACATAAACTAGAATGGTTTTTTTTGTTGAAAGTAAAAGCCAACAGGTAGAATACACATTCCAACTTGGCAGGAGTTAAAGCCAACTGTACTATACTACTCTTATGATCAAACCCTTAATGCCACTTGGTCTTGCCATGTTATCTTCCTTTTTCCTACCCCACTTGATCAAACCCTTAATGCCACTTGGTCTTGCCATGTTATCTTCCTTTTCCCTACCCTACTTGATCCTTCTCCAAGGTTTCTACAAACTGAAAGCTTGATATCATTGTGCTGTTCCTCATTCACGCCTCTTTGTTCTTCAATCCACATTGGCTGATTGTTTCCCTCTAATTCCTCCTCTTCTCTCTGCATCATGATAACAAAAGAAAACAAAACTATTTAACAAACGTGTTTATATCGAGAAAAACTATTAACAAACTTTTTTAGATCGACAAATTGGATTTTATCTACAGGTATAAGCACTAAGCACTCGTAAAACTGTTTCACAGAACTAGGACTCATTATGTAAAGCAGAGCATATGATATGAAATAATTACCGAAATCTGGTTCAAGTCGAAAAAAGGAGTTACACTCTTCTTTGTGGCTTCTTTCCCACTGAGAACCCTCTCTTTGTGATTCAAGTCAAGCACAGGGACAGAAGAGCTATGAAAAGAACCATCTTTTTTACTTAAGCTTCTGCCACCATTCTGGTTTAAATCAAACACATGACCAGTTTTCTGCCTTGTATCTTCAACAACTCTATTGAAAACTCTTTCTTTTGAGTTAGATTTAGAACCAGTTTGAGGTCGCAAAATAGATTCCTTTCTATTGTAATTCCTTCCCTTTGTGATCTTTGGCTCTTTGATTTTCAGCTTTTGTGGCTTTATAGCTTCTTGCTTTGGTTGAGGCTTAGGAAGAGGATGCTTTAGTAAGTATGCATACCGTTGCCTTAGGAATCTGCAGTTAAAAGTGATAGTTTAAAATAAGCTCTATGAGTAATCAACTTAAAACAATGAAGAACATAAAAAAGCATTAAAGCATGATGAAACATTACCTGACTTCAGCTGATAGAATCAACTTTTTCTGCTTTACGGCTTCCAATTTCATTCTCATGGCTTCTGTTTCCTGAAGAACATAACATCAAAATCATGAGAAAAGTCCTCTACAATAAACCCGAATAAAATTGCGTGTGAAATTAGATGCTAATTTTTACAACAAACCTAAACAAAATCACCCCTCCAAAGAAAAAGAGGTTAATCATCATTTAATTGTTAAATTCTGAACTTTGAAACCTAATAAGCTTAAAGACCAAAACTTGATGAACTTGAAAACAAGAAAAAGCTACAAAATCACACTCCTATAAGACTGTTGTTTCATGGTTATTACAACATACTAAGGAATTCAACAGAGATTAATACAAGATTATTGATTCTAGATAGAACACAAACATGGAAACCCTAATAGATACAGAAAAACCACAAAGATCAACATCAAAACACACCATCTCATCAAGATCGGAGGTTAAATCAAAACAATCATCAAACAACAACATCAAAACACAAGATCCCCATACTAATTTCACCAACAAACCCTAAATTCAACAAAAACAATACAAAATCATAAGATCCATTTTAGGTTTTCTTCAACAAACCCTAAATTTCCAGAATCAACATAAAAACACGACCACAAATCAAAATACATGAAAGAAAAACCTAGATCCGTTGAAACCGATGAAATAAAAAATCCAATCGAGTAAAAAGGGTTACCTTATGCAAATCTTCATAGTCCTGCAAGAGACTCTGGTGTCTCATCATGGATCTCTGATCCATAAACGCCTCGGAAGAAGGATTCGTAGAAACAGCAACACCTTTCATCTTCTTCATCGTGAAGAGATCAGAGAAGAAGAAAAGAGAAACAAAAATCTAGAGAGAGAGAAAGAAGAATAAGAAAGGTTACGGAGGAAGAGAGAAAGAGATATAATAGATATATAGAGAGAGAGAGAGAATAGAGAAGAAGAGAGAAAAAGAAGAGGCGAAATAATAGTGAAAATAATAAAGGAAGAAAGAAGGGGAAAGGGTTAAGAAGGTTCTCGTGTATCTGTGAAACTCTGACCAAGAGAAAGAAACCGAAAAAGCCCACATAACTCGGTGAAAAATATTCTTGTTTTGAATAACCAGTGATGAAGATGGCATTTTTTGGGGTCTTGCAGAAGGGTAATTTCGGCAACATATTCTCAAGAGAGAGAGAAAGAGAGTGAAATACTAATATGGTGGGTTTGGTTGGAGGACAATTGAACACATCTAACAACACCTCTCTATCTTTTTGTTTCCCATTCTTTCTCTTTTTTTTTTTTTTGGTTTTTGTTTTTCTTTCTTCAATCTTAATTTTTGGTCCAGCTGGGCCATTGATGAGAGAGAAAGAGTGTGTTTGTGGTGTGGACTCTTTGATTGTTTGTGTTGAGAGAGAAATAATGGAATGGGTCAGAGATGGAAAAAAATAGATTAGATTAGGGGCTGGAAAAAGAATAATGAATAAGAGAGATATGATGATGTTAGTTTTCTTTTCTCTCCTGCTATTCTGTAGCAGTTGTTGTTTGTTACAACAAACCTTATTTTTAGGCTTTAGGGTTGGTTTTTGTTTTGTTTGTTAGGGGGTTGGTTGGTTTGTTGTGTTTTGTGGAAAGTGATAATGAAAAGTGATTTACTATTATGCCCTTTTCATTTGCTGTTTTTTTATACTCTTGTCCTGGCTGGGTGGAGAAAAGAAAACCAATATGGCTTTTTTTCATGATGAAGCAAAAGGAGGTAAAGTAATAAAAAAGAAAAAACCCAAAACACCCATCTGGTTTGGTCAATTATTTGTGTGGGTGATAGTGATGATTCTTTAAAGAGGGATATATATTAGTCTCATCATCTTTTCTTTTTCTTTCTCTCTCTAGAAGTGTATGATGAGTATGAGGGGTGTATTAGGTAGTTTGTCTTGTACACTCAAAGTGAGTGACTTATCTTTATATTTAATGTTTCCCTCCATCTTCATCCATGGAAATGGAAAGATCCCACTATTACCTACTTTCAGGACTTTATAGTACGTGCCACCAGCCCACCTATCTAATAGCCACTGCTACTATTCATTGAAAGCTCCATTTTTTATCTACATTAGTTATACACCTACTGCTTAATATTACTATACATCAATTGACAAGTCCGACCCATTTTTATTTTTCTTTATTAGTTGTTTTTTTTTTGTTATTTTAATAAATTATTAACTCCCTCCTTAAATATAAGATTCTATTGAAAAAATTGTGAGAATTAAAAAAATAATTAAAGTATTAAATATATTGACTATTTTGTTTAATTTTATAAATTTATCTTTAGAAACAAGAAATCGTTAAGGTATATGTAATTGTTTATTATAGATTATAGAAAAAGAGATAATATAATTACGGGTAAGTTTGGAACAAAAATCATTAATGCATTTTGAAAGTTGAGGAGAATCTTATAAAAAGGAACAAAAAAAACTCAACAAAATCTTATAATTAGAGACGGATGTAGTATATTTTACAACTATCTATTTTGTAAAATATGAATGATTGCAAGTGTATTTTTTTTATAATATAAATGAAGGTTCAAGGTAGAAAGCCAAGAGGAGAGACGATGGAAGTTAGGTATTTTTTGTTCTCATCTAATGTAGTTAATTTTGCCCTCGAGCCATTAGTTGTTGTCCAGATTAATCAAACGGTTGTTTGCATTATACACTGCAATTCTCATAGACAGTTTTAATCATTTTTACTATATAAAAGAGAAAGTGTATCACTCTCGGATATTCAAATTCTCCCTCACTTATACATTATTCGTTATTATCTCACTAACTTAGGTATTGGAATGCTAACTGTGATATCTTTGGATCAAATTCTAGTATTTCGACAAAGATAGGTTTCATGGTTCAATAGAGGTTAAGCATGCAGTCGAAGTCTGTTCACATGTTGATGTCGAAGTCATGCATGCAGATGTCGAAATATGCTAGATTGTTAGCATTGTCGAATTGGGTCAGTTTATTAGCCCAATTGTTTAAGTTATTTGTTGTTTAAGTTACCTTAATAGTCTATAAATAGACTGGTTCTCTTAGATTGTTAAGAGTGCATTGGTTGTTGTTATTCACTTGTAATCTTGAGCCCTAATTGAGAAAGCGAATAGTAAAACAGTTATAACCAATCTTGATTTTCTCCTTCTTATTTTCCCCTCTTCTATCTCTTTCGTAAAATCTAATAGGATTTCTTATGTTTATTCAAAAAACTCAATCTTTCTCATAGTTTTGGTTTGTTCTTGATGGTGATATGTTATAACAAACTGGTGCGGTGAGCATGGAGAAGCAGATATCGTCAACAAATTATGAAATTGAGAAATTCACCATAATGAATGATTTTAGTCTATGACACTTGAAGATGCAAGTCCTTCTTGTTCAATAGGGTGTGTTATAAGCATTGAAATGATCAGAAAAGATGGATGATGCCCTAATGGAGAAGGAGAAGACGACGATGATAGAGAAAGCTCACAACGTCATCATACTGACCCTTGGTTATAAGGCTCTTTGATAGGTTTCAAAGGACAAGACGGAGGCAGGTGTATAGACGAAACTCAAAAGTTTATATATGACAAAATCGTTGGTCAATCGCCTCTACCTGAAATAAGCTATGTATTCATTCAAGATGAGTAAAGACAAAGTCTTGACAGAATAATTGGATATGTTTAATAAGTTGATTCTTGAACATTGAGGTTACCATCAATGATGAAGATCAAGCGTTGTTGTTGTTATGTGCTTTACCAAGATCTCATGCTCACTTCAAAGAAACCTTCTTGTATGGAAGAGATTCTTTGACATTTGAAGAAGTTCAATCAGCTTTGTACTCAAAGGACTTGAACGAAAGAAAGGAGTATAAGTCATCATGTGTTGGTGAAGGATTGTCCCTAAAATGAAAATTTTAGAAGAAGGATACTAAGTTTGAGAAGAAGAAGGGTAAAGGTCCACAAATGTCTTATGGTGGTGATGCTACTACTATTAGGTGTTACCCTGTAAGAAGGAAGGTCATACCAGAAAAGTGTGTCATGTCAGGTTGAAGAGTTATGGCAATGACAAGGACAATGGCAATGCAACCATTGTTCAAGATGATTATGAACCATCTGATGTATTGGTGGTTTCTAGCGGAAATTCTAGCAAGGAATGGATTATGGATTAAGGTTGAACTTGGAACATGACTCCAAACAAAGACGTGTTTGAGGAATTATGTGATCAAGATGGTGGATCAGTTTTGTTGGGAAACAACAAAGCCTGGAAAATTACAGGAATTAAATTTGTTAGATTCAAGCTTCATGATGAGCCAATAAAGTTGTTGACTAGTGTTATGTATGTACTTGACCTTAAGAGAAATTTGATTTCTCATAGTGAATTCGACAAGAAATGATATGCTTTCAAAGGAGAGCGGAGTATCCTAAGGGTAATGAAGGGGTCGAATGAAGTCTTAAGAGGCATCAAGAGGTAAGGCATGTATAGCCTTAAGGCTGAGGTTGTAAGTGGTTCAGTAGATGTGGTATCCATAAACATATGTCAAGGACTGAGTTATGACACAAGAGACTTGGTAGTGTCAATGAAAGAGTACTGGTCGAATTGTTAAAATAAAATTTGTTATGTGGTGACAAGGTCGAAAAGGTGGAGTTTTGAGAACTTCGTGTATTTGGTAAATAATGTAGGGTGAAGTTTAACAAAGCTAAACAAAGAATTCATGGATTCTTTGATTATATTCGTGATGATCTTTAAGGGTCTGCAAGGTGTCTTCCATATTCAGGTGTAAGGTACTTTTTATCCATGGTTAATGATTATTCAAGAAAACATTGGGTATTCATTCAGAAGACAAAGGATGAAACTTTTGGTAACTTCAAAAGTTGGAAGACTCTGGTCGAAAATCAAACTGGAAGAAATGTCAAGAGGCTAAGAATCGACAATGGCCTTGAGTTCTGCAATGAAGCTTTCGATAATTATTATGCTATGTCTGGTGTCGCAAAGCACAAGACTACTGTGGGTATTCCTCTATAAAACGGCCTAGCTTAGAGATTCAATCGGATAATCCTTGAAAGGGTTAGATGCATGTTGGTTAGTGTTGGATTGAATAAGGTGTTTTAGGCTAAAATTTTTGTGACTATAGCTTACCTGATAAATTGGTGTCCATCGACTGCCTTAGGGATAAAGACATTTGAAGAACTTTGGTCGGGTCATCCACCAGATCTCGAGATACTGAGAGTATTTATTTGTGTCACATATGCTCACATTAGGCAAGACAAGGTCGAACCTAGAACTCTGAGATGCATGTTCATGGGGTATCCTGGGGGAGTAAAAGCCTATAGGCTATGATGCCTAGAATCAGGTCACAGAAGCATAAATGATGTTCAAGAAAATTGATGATGCTGGTTGAAATGCAAAAATCTTTTAAGAAGATCTCGAATAGGAAGAGATTTCTATCGAGGTGGAGCATATTTATGTTGAAATGCAAAACTCGGATAAAGTCGAGGAAGAAGTACAAGATGTTAAAGAAACTGAGGAAATTGTCGATGACTACCTTCTGGAAAGGGACAGGTCGAGAAGAGTCATTAAGAAACCTTAGAGACTTAGTTATGTATATCTCATAGTGTATGCCTTATTCTTTGCAAGTAAGGTTCTAGATGAAGAACCTAGAGACTATAAGGAAGTTATGAGGAGTCGAAACAAGACTGACTGGATGAAATCCATGGATGATGAGATGAAATCTCTTAATGATAACAATACTTTAATGCTGATCAAGAGACCCACATGGACCATATTAGTCAACTGTAAGTGGATTTTTAAGGTGAAAAAA